AAAGAGAAAGCCCCCTAATGACCACTGGGGAACATGGTCTACCTCGTAAGCATTGTCCTGGTAGGTCAGAGCAGCTGTGAACCAGAAGGGTGTGGCAAAGCTGAATGTGAAACTGCTTGGTGCTCCTTCAGACTGAGGGACATCTGCCATGCCCTGTGGAAGCTCCGGCTCCCTGTCTTCTCTCTCACAGGCATCTTCCAAGCCTCTAGGAAGCATTCTAGCAATATGTTCACATGGACATATGCTTTTAAAACTTACCAAAGAAGTGCAAATTGATGTTTCCTACAGGTCCCCTCTTAAGACCTTCTAAAACCTGGATCACTAATCTCCAAAGCTTGAGCACAGAGGGTGTCTGGTGATTCTGAACTCACCACTACAGCTCCAGCCTCTGTACATGTGTGACTCACTGTTCAGGATCCCCTGGTTTTCATCCCAGAGGTTCATGGGCCTTCAAAGGGAAAGCTGATACCTTTAGAACCACACCAAGTGCTTATGTGTGCTCCAGTAACACCTGACACCTCTGTCCTTAGAAACTTCCGACATATGCTAGTGGCTTTTGCCTGACAACTTTTCTGAACTTCCAACATTAAGTTCCATTGCAGCCCGAGCCCTTACTCTTACCCTGCTCCCAGGGCACTGTAAGAAGCGAAGACATCCCAGCAGCCCAGCTCTGCCCTAATCACACCATAGGCTATGCAGTTTGTCCCTTATTCTCCCTCAGCTTGAAATTTCCCTATATAGGAGATTATTTGGTTCCCCTTACTCCATTTCTCTCCCATTTTAAATTCATTTCATTTATATAAGTGCTTATGTAATTTTATATAAATAAATGTGATCATGGATCATGTGCACTTAGCTTTTCTTTTTGACCCTATTCTTTTCCTCTTTCTTTTTTAAATTAACCAGAAGAAATTATTAAATAGGAGATGGTCAAAATTATATGTAGAGTTGGGGAGATGCTAGAACTCACATAAAACCAGACCTAGGGTGAGGCAGGAGGCAGCAGAGACCAGAGATGCTCCTGAAGCTGGCAGGTCAGCTCCGCCTTCAGGGGAGGTAGAAAATGAGGACGATGCCTGAGTTTGTCCTCTAACTTCCACACACACTCTCTGGCGTGCATGCACCCGCACTGCACTTGCAAAAAGACACACACACACACACACACACACACACACACACACACCACACTATACATAATGTTAGAAATAGTACTAAAGACTAGATTTAAATGACTTTGAAACACAATCTTAACAATTGGGGTTCTACAAGAAAAACCAAACACTGGGCTATGTATATATGCTCATGAAGGAGATCTCAAGGAATTTGTGTCTGTGGTGGTGGGGCTTGGCTAGGCTATTCTGAAGCATGTGGGGTGGGCCAGCAGCAGGCTGTTGACTCCAGGCAGGAACTAGCACTAGCAGGGCAGTCCACAGAGAGAACTGTTTCTTTCTCAGGGGAATGGTTTTGTTCTTGTCACTCACTTTTCCTTTTACTCATATGTCTTCTTCCCAACAACACAACCAGCTGACATTTGGTTACAGTCTAGTGGACATTTTCTATACTGTTTTGTACCCATATAACATATACATATGGATGTCCCCATATACATACATACTATAAGTATATATACATATAACTTTTCTGGAATTTGTTACATTTTAAAGCAGAAGTGTTTCTAAACATTTATATATGTATGTATACATATATAAATGAACATATATACTGCTGTTTTTATTTTTCTCAAAAATATTTTAGAAAAATCTCTGTGACTGGGCTGGAGGGGTGGGTCAGTGGTTAAGAGCACTGGCTGCTCTTGCAGAGGACCTGGGTTTGGTTCCCAGCACCTGCTTGGCCACTCACAACCATCCTCATTCCAGTTTCAGGGGAATCTGATGCCCTCTTCTGACCTCTGTGGGCATTACATGATACAGGTGCACCTACATACACACAGGCAAAACACTAATACACAGAAAATAAAAATACAAATCTCTGTGACAGAACTGGATTTGATCAAGTTACTAAGTCTTTGAAAACTCACACAGTTCAAAGGATTTAGGTGCATTAGGTCTTCTGTAGGTAGAACTTCCTCTCCTTAGGGCTGCCTGCTACTCAAAGCTCCTTTCTGTTCAGAAATGTGTATGTTTTGTTTCAGAAGTGAATCGTGTATATACTGACCCTTACCACTTTTTCTGCTTTAATTGTTTTAGTTTCAGTGGGGAAACAAAGGTCTAAATTCTCTACCAAATCCCCATTCTTGTGCTCGTCCTCTCCACAGAGATGCTTCACAGTGTCATATTTTATTCCTGTTGAATTTAACGGCAAATTATTTTTAAATGTGATCAGTGTTATGATTTAGATCTGAAAGATTCCCCCAAAGGCCTGGTTCCCAGTGTGGAAATGTCCAGAGGTGAGGCTTTTGGAAGTGATTAGATCATGAGGGCTCTGACCTCATCGATAGATTAGTCAGCTCAAGATTTCATTAACTGTAGGTCTAATGGGAGAGGAAGAAAACTTAGGAACTGAGGAGCTGGGACCTAGCTCCAGAGTGTCCTTGGAGGCATGTCCTTGGGGCCTGTGTCTTACTTTTAGGCCCTTCCCTGCTCCCTCTCTGTTTCCTCCCTCCTCTTCCCTCTGCTCTTCTCCAGCTTCTTTGAGGTGAGGCAGCTCAGCTCCACTGCTGCCCTTGTCCATCATGAAACTCTGCTTTACCACATATTCAGAAGCAACAGAGCCAAGTAAACTATAGGAACTGAAACTTCTGAAACCAGGAGCCAAAATAAATCTGACCTCCTTTGTTCTTGGGTATTTTATCCTAGCAGTGGAAAGCTGACTGACACAGAAGATCTCATGGCCTTGAATATTTAATTTTATAGATTACAACTTTTTGTAAATCCTAACAATTTTTTTTGTCTTTTTGAGACAGGGTCTCCCTGTAGTCCCAGCTGACCTGAACTCACTATGTAGACCAGGCTGGCCTTGAACTCACAGCGATCCATCTGCCTCTGCCTCCCGAGTGCTGGGACTAAAGGCGTGCGCCACCACGCCCGGCAACCTAACAATATTTTTATTGATTCTTTGAGAATGTCATACAGTGTATTTAGATCATATTCAGACCCTTTCCCCATCTTCTCTGGGATGCACCACACCTCCCTACCCCTCGTCATTGTGGTTTATGTAAATAGGTAGTCTACACAGACATCACTTATAAGACTTTCACAGTCATCTTATTTCAGGAAGTGCAAAGATGCGGCCTGGCAGTAGGTATATAGAGTTAATATATGGTTGTTGGTTCACTTGTAACCTACAAAAGAGGTTTGGTAATAACTGAAATTTTCATGAGTAAAAACTTAAATTTCCATATAGTGTGCATTATGATGCTTATGTTGAGAGACAGATTGTACTTTAGGTACCTGTACTCCTGAGGAAAGCTTCTATTTCTCATAGCTTTTTTGTTGTTGCTGTTGGTTTTTGCTTTTTATTTATTTACTTTAATTGAATTTTTGTGATTTTTCTTTTACTTTTTTGGTTTTTTTCGAGGCAGGGTCTTCCTGTAGCCCCAGCCCCTGGAACTTACTATGTAGAAGCAGGCTGGCCTCTATCTCACAGAGATCCACCTGCCTCTGCCTCCTGAGTGCTCAGATTAAAGGTGTGCACCACCATGCCTGACTGAATTTTTGTGATTTTCATGCAATCTAATTTGATGATATTTAGATTCCCTCCCTTATCTGCACCTCCCCTTACTGTGCCCATCCAATTTAATGTACTCTATTAAATATATATATATATATATATATATATACATATGGCCTATAGAGTCTAATTTGTGTCTCCAAATGTCCTTCAGGATAGGTCCACTTCACTGGAGCCTGACTACAACTTTTGATGATAAACCTAGGTGTATGGTATTTTTAAAGAACAAACAAATTAGTAAGCATATTAAATACCACAAAACCTTCATCTTAAATTACTGTTTATTTTTATCTCTTTCAGAAAACTACGTTTAGTTGACATAGAAGAATTTCATAACTGCCAGGATGCCCTGGAGCTGGCAGGCTTTCAGAACATTGTCATTAGACACATGGAATCTGCCAAGGACACTCTGCTTAAAACGTAACGTTTTGAAATCTCATATATTAGAGATGTTATTGGTGAGGATTTTCCTTTTAACTGCTTTTAGAAAATCCATTCCAACAACTCTTTAAAGACACTTTTGTGTTTAAGAGTTAAATATGCCTTTAACTGCCTTGTTCTATAGCATATATCATGATCTACACAGCACAGGATGTAAAGAAACAAAAATAGTCATCACTCATGGTGATCATTTTATAAGTGTGACTTCTGCCTCTGCTCTGAGACTGGTGTTGGGTAGCAGGTACTAATTACTCACCATGTAATTTTTTTTTTTGACATTTACTATTGATGTGTTTCGGCACAGGCTGTGCTAAAGAACATCTTTTATTTTGGGGGGAGGGATGCAGAAGTGTTTAAAAATGATTAGGAAGGGAAAGTATTTGTTTAAATGAGTTTCCAGTCTCAATGGGGATTACCAAATGGTAGCTAAGTTTTCTTGGATTGGCCTTTCAGAATGCACTAGCCACATATGGTAACTAATGGTGTAGGTGCCAGGAAATATACTCTGGAGCAACACAAGAAAATTATCTGTATTATGGGTCATTAATTTATCATAAATAGGACGTTACCATTAAATCAAATTACAATTAACAAAGACACCAAAGTTCTGACCAGCTTCATGATTTCTAAAAGTTAGTTAGAAATGTATTTAAGATTAAATATATTCTTTATCTTTTTCCCCAGTAAGTTAGAATAAGATGTTTTGTCTAATCTTACTTGAGAACAAATTTAACCTTTTGTTACATATTATGATTAGTTAACATGAAAATTGAGAGCAGGTTAAGAATGAAATCCTATAATTAAATATAGAAAGAAAATGATCTTTTAAGAACAGGATACAAATTAATTATCTCAATCTATAACTTCAAGGATATACCCCACTGCCCAGTGTAAACTAGGTAAAATGGGTGCCAAGGAATAGAATAGAGCACAAACCTATATTGAGATATATGTATATATATATATACATACATACATATATGTATATATACACATACATATATGTATATGAATCTGAAAAACTGTAGATTGGTTAGTTGTGTCTCTTAATGATTCCAGACTAATTCTCAGAAGGAAATCTCAAATCACATTTTGGTGAGTCAGAATGTCTTTATTGTTTATATAAGGCAGAACATCAGCTCACAGTAGATACACAATTAGTGAGTAATAATTACGATATCCCTTTCAAACCAAAGGGTGCTTTACTGAGTCCTGTTCTTCTGTTACTCGGCAGCTGCTGTGATTTTTTCAGTGTTCTAGAAACCTGTTTTTTGGTTTCTCTGTGCTTTTCTAATTCTTCATGATAGACTCTGTTTCTGGATCTACTTAATCACAATTCCTTCTGAAAGCAGCAGCTCCCAAGGTCTCTGTCTATATCCTGTTGACAACCCCATCACTTCATTGGTCTCATCTGTCTCACAATCATGACCTGCTTTCTGAGCTCTTATTACCTACTGTGTCTATTCAGATCCTTTACTCATTAAATATTGGGTTATCTGGGGGCTGGAGAGATGGCTCAGCTGTTAAGAGCACTGACTGCTCTTGCAGAGGACCTAGGTTTGATTCTAGGCATCCACATGGCAGCTAACAATGGACTGTAGCTCCAGTTCCAGGGGATCCAATGCCTTCTTCCAACCCCCATGGGCATTGCATGACAGGTGCACTTACACAAATGCAGGCAATATACTCATACACATAAAATAATACTAAAAAATAATTTTAAAAAAGTGTTGTGTTATCTGGCTTTTTATCTTCATGAGACCTTCATTGTGTGCATGATTAGCAAATATTTCTTCTGTTATGTAGGTTGTCCTTTAACTTTCTTGATAGTATCTTTTAAATATTTTTAATTTTGAGAAAGTCTAATTATGCTTTTATACTTAAGTCCTTTGGCCATTAAAACTAGTTCATTTTGGGGGCTGGAGAGATAGCTCAACAGTTAAGAGCACTGACTGTTCTTGCAGAGATCCCAGACAGGTTCAAGTCCCAGCACCCTCATAGCGACTAACAAAAGTCTGTAATGCCAATTCCAGGGGATTGGGATGCCCTAATCTGATCTCCTTGGGCATTGTATGACACGGGTATGCTTATATACATGCAGGCTTTACACTAATACACAAAAAATAATAAATAAAATATTTAGCAGCCAGGCGTGGTGGCACACGCCTTTAATCCCAGCACTCGGGAGGCAGAGGCAGGCTGATCTCTGTGAGTTTGAGGTCAGCCTGGTCTACGTAGTGAGTTCCAGGACAGCTGGGGCTACAGGGAGACCCTGTCTCCAAAAGACCGAAAAAAAAAAAATTAAAAAGTAGTTCTCTTTGCTGCATGTGATGGCACATGACTTTAATCCCAGAGGCAGGCAGATCTCTATGAGTTCAAGGCCAGACTGGTCTGCATAGTGAGTTCCAGGCAAGCTGGGGTTTTAGGGAGACCCTGTCTCAAAAAGACCCCCCCCAAATTAGTTCATTTGACTTAAGTTTTTTTTTAAAAGATACTTTTTAAAAATATTTTATTGTTTTTATTTTATGTGTATGAGTGTATTGCCTGCATGTATGTGAGTGCACCCATGTTGTGCAATGCTGCGGAGGTCAGAAGAGGGCTTCAGATTCCCCTGGAACTGGAGTTAAGGATAGTTCATAGCCACCATATGGGTGCTGGGAATCGAACCCAGGTCTTCTGCAAGAGCAGTCAGTGCTCTCAACCACTGAGCCATCTCTCCAGCCCCATTTTGACTTAAGTTTTTATATGACATGAAGAACCATTCCAAACTTTTTCTTTGCCATGTAAATAATAGTCCTACAATTATTTGTGCAAAAGTCTCTTCTTTTTTCATTAAATGGCTTTGCAATTCTTGTTGACAATTTTGCCATATACTTGGCAATTTACTTATGGAATCTTTATTCTATTCCATTGATCTATTTGCTTACCTTTATAACAGCAGAAACTGCTTCTGTTACTGAAGCTTTGTAAAATGTTTTGAAGTAGGATATATGAATCTTCCAATTATGTTTTATTAAAGGACTTTTGATGCTAGGTCCTCTTTATTTAAAAATGGGGATGAGAGGAAGTGGGGGTGAGAGAGAGAGACTGAGAAAATTGGGACTTTAATAGGAAGTATATTGAGTTTGAGGCTCTCTGTTTCTTTTTTAACCAACTACTGATTTTCAAAATAATTATTCTTTGTTTCTTTCAGTTAGATGGGAACAATAGGGAAAATTTAGTTGGTAACTTCCCCCTTAAATTCAAAAACTTTTAGCATTGTGTGCATAAGTGTAATGATCCAATCAGAGGTTAAGAGATTAAAATGGAATAAGAACATCTTGCACACCTTCAGCAAAATATGGTCCACACTACTCATAATACTTGATGCAGTCTATTATCAGAGGAGCCTTTCTTCTGTCCTACCCTAACCCTTCCTAAACGACCCTTTTGACATCTTTTTTTTTTAGCCTTTTTGAGACAGAGTCTCCCTGTAGCCCCAGCTGTTCTGGAACTTACTATGTAGACCAGGCTGGCCTTGAATGCACAGAGATCTGCCTGCCTCTGCCTCCTGAGTGCTGGGATTAAAGGTGTGTGCCACCACGCCCTGCCTCTCAGTGAAATCTTTACCAGGACCTCATCACAAGCAGTCTCTTTCAAATGCCTCCAGAACCTCAATCTCCACTAACTCCTTCCTTTTGCCTTTCTTTACATTATGTCCCTTTTTTCTTCACCAATATAACACTCTTTGAGAAATATTTTGTATCCCAAATGTTTTGCACTGTATAGGGAGTCTTGTAAATATTTTGAAATAATGAGACAATGGATAATTTTTAAAGAATTTTGTTCCTCTTAAAGTTCTAGAGACCCAAAGTTATTTAATCTGCAGCCTGAGTGCTGGAGGCTTCTGGCCCCTTTCTTGCTCAGTGACACTCCTTGGCTCCTGGCTCTCTCACTCATTCTGTTTGTGTTTCTTTAACAATGATGCCCTACCACAGAAGCAGCTGCCTTGACTCCTCTTAGGCCACTGATCCCAGTACTGGACTGTGGCTCCCAAGCTTGTAAGAGTCATTGTGGTTTTGCCCTCATTTATTTTTTTCTATTTTCTGTTGTCTCTCATTCTATTTTAGAGTAGGATGATCCGTTCTATTAGTCCTACCTGCCCACATCTTTTAGTTTTCATGTTATTTCTGCTGCAGATCCTTTTGTTGGGGTTCCTTTCCCTCTATTCTTCCCTCTTCACTATGAAAACTTTGTCTAATATTGAAATGCAAAGTTTCCCTCTATCCTTTGACTTGTGGCTGATTTTCTATGATGTACTACTTTCACCATGACGAGGGAAAGGATGATGTAATGTCTTTGTGCATCTCCCATGACAGTGTTTTTAGGATATTTAAGTATCCACTCAATACCTATTTTTAAAAAGGTGAATACACCAGGCATGGTGGCGCACGCTTTTAATCCCAGCACTCGGGAGGCAGAAACAGGTGGATCTCTGTGAGTTCAAGGCCAGCCTGGTCTACACGGTGAGTTCCAGGACAGCTGGGGCTACAGGGAGACCCTGTCTCAAAAAGACCAAAAAAAAAAAAAAAGAAAAAAAAAGAAAAAGAAAAAACCCAAAAACCAAAACCAAACAAACAAAAAAACACCCTTAGATTTAGTGTCTTGGAACATTCTATCCATTCTTAATGACTATTTTCTTAAAATTCATTATCTCTTATGACAGAAAGTACTGGCATTCCTTAATCTTGCAGTGTTAGACAATGCTTTCATAAGCTGAAAACTAGTCATTTTCAGCATGATGTTCCTATATATGAAATTACACTATTAGTCTTTTATTTCAAGTTCACATACACATTTGAAACTTCACTTTAAGTCAGTCATCCTTTCTGGATTTCACATTAAGGGGAATTGGGAAAATAAGACACATGATTTTGTTGATTTGTGTCCTGTTTGTAAGCTGTTATGAAGCTGAGCAGTGTGGCATAGCATGAGCTTTAACTTGCTGTGAGCTTCTCTTGGTTTAATCAGTTATTCACACTATAGCTTTAAACTAACAATTATATCCCCTGGAGACCATTTAAGAGACTGGAGAGAAGTATCTGATAAGGTTATTTCTCATCTATCTTAAAAAGCTGCAGGAACCATAGTTGCAGGGTTAGATTTATGTCTTACAGTACCACGTCTTTGAGTCATTTTCTATTGGTTATGATTTAAAATTTCTTTTCCTAGGAGAAGTGAAGTACTCTAGCACTTACATGTCTGAGAGTGGATAATGTCACTTAGCAATATACCTCTTTATGAAGACCTTTGGCTGTCTGGAATTTACTGTCGATGCTTAATGTGAAAGGAGTAATTCACAGGAGTATTGACTTTTAAAAGTCTTTTGTTCTTTCAAGGTGGTTTCCAGAAGTGCAGAATATTTATTACCAAGGTAATAAAAAAAAGCAATTGCCAACTGGTGACAGCAGTGCCAAATTGGAGTCTTTTTTCAATTGTGCTGCTACCCTCATGACTCTACAGCTTCAGGACCTCACTTTGGTCTCCATGCAAGATTTCACAGACTTAATTGCACAACCCCCAGTAAGTACCCTTCCATTACACCACAGTGCATTCGATAACTTTTTTTTCTCCATTCTTTCAGAGAGGAAAATGAAAAAAAAACTGTCTTTTACAGTGAAAGAACAGAAAGTATATCTTTAGACCTATTACACGTCTGTGTTACAAAATTAGTGTCAACTTGCACATTTAGGAAACGGTTATTATCATGAGAGGTGAGGATTTGGATAAATAGTTGGGAAAATTGGGTCATGAAGGCTGGGTTGAGCTCTCCTGAGGCACATCTTCTTTCTCAGGAAGGAAATTCTGTTGGTTACAGTGTGAACAGAGCCTTGGAGCTAGAATGCGCTTCTCCTGGCTTGACCCTGCAGTTAATCTGTAGGCCCAACAAGATACTAGGATACCAGCAAGTTGGATTGCAATCTCTCTTTTCAATGAAATCCTCCTTGGTTTAAGTATCTAGGGTGTAAGTGTAAGTGTGGGTGGTTTCTCATCTATTTAATTGGGGCTGATGTACTTTCTCATTTATCACAATTGATCTATATGTCTCCATGTATACAGTTGCACATAGTTATGTTTTTTTATATATATTTATATTTTTAGGACTCTGTTAGAGCTTTTGAACATCCAGGTTTCATCATGAGGTTGATTCTTGAAAATAATGCCATTAAATTTGAACCTGAGTTTTCTGACTACATAGATATCCTTGTAAATGTTTATGAAATCATGATTAAGGCTGTCAGTTTTGTGCCGAGAGTTGAGACAAAATTGTATTCCAAGTGGGTAAGTAACAAGAATATTCCGATTGCTTGAATTTGCATAATGATATTTGCTTCAATTGATTATTAGAAGTTACTGACAGGTATCCTCTGCTCCACAGCTACTAAGAATGGCATCTTAGCAGGATCAGCTTCTAAGAAAGTTTGGCTAAAAAGCACTTCCACTAGCTCCTTTTACGAACACACATACTTTCCTAACCTAGTCTTCCACTGGACTCAGCTGGAAATTTTCTGAGGGACGAGAATTCGAGTTGTGATGGAGGATGAAGCAGCAGATGATTGCTGGTTGTAGATCTCACCAGTTGCCACAGCATCCATCAGTGCTGTCTCCCTCCATTACACATCCCCAGTGCTGCTGTCTGACTGAGGGTCCTCCTCATAGAACTTTTTCCTACAAATAGCAAACTCCTGACTGTACTCACAGATGCTGTCTTCGACATTTCATTAGTAGTCACTGTAGTTTAGTTCGTTATATGAGCATATCCGAAGATTTACTGACTTGCAAGGTTTTCAAGTTTCTTAATTTCTAATCACTAGCTTTCTTTTCCCTTTTCTTTTTTATAAAAAAGTTCACAATTTTTATTTCTTACATACTAAAGCTACAGACTACTGGTATTAAAGGCGTAAATAACAATGAAAAATAGCCCCTGTGTAGCTACATCCCATCTTAAAGAACACGGTGCCACTACTACATAGACACTGTCTCCCATTGTACTTGACTAGTATATTAACGTCCCTATCATAGCGTCTAGCAAAAGAATCACTACCCTCAGTATGGGAGTGATTATTTTTCATTTTTAAAATTAGACTTACTACCTGTCTGTACATTCCCAAACAACTGTGTATATGCTGCATGTGTTTGCATAAGTACAATCATCTTTTTATGTAATTTTTGACTTAGTCTATTTTATTTGATTTTATGATTATGAAATCATACATATTATTTTTTCCTTCATAGAGCTCCTAATTTTCATGTCATTTTCTAGGAATTTCATTAATTCTTTAGCAAATAGATCTGATCATTTTAATTGTCTTTTGGATTTATTCATGTATTAAGATTTTTCTTTTTACACAAATTTTTTTTTCCATTCTGAATTTAAGAATTCTACTATCTATGATCTTTGCATATCTGATTTTGCTGTAGTGGAATCCTGCCCATGGTTGCCTATTTCTTTGGGTACTTTTTCTTTGTTACTATGGGTGTATATTCATCAGAACTTTATGCAAGAACATCTTTGAGGCTGTGGTGTAAGTTAGGCCCTTTGGAATTTCTGGAATCTCATGAAAGCTCTGGAGGGCTCTATAGACCAAGGATCATTTTTACTAAATCTTTGCTTAATGATTTTTTGGACAATCTTGGCTGTGTGTTTATCCAAATTGGAGAATAGGATTCCGGTCCCAGATTGTTAAGGAAACTACTTTTTCTTCCTCGTAGGTAAAGGTGGGACACTTCTCTCACTCCCCTCTTTCAAGGATTCTGTCACCTTTTAGTTATTTTGTTATGGTGCTTGGGGGACCGACCGGGAAGGACTACCCAGACTCAAAAAGTTCCAAATCAGCAGATTAAACTTTCACAGTTTTATCAGAATTTAAAAGAAAAAGAAATCCTCAGGGTAGGCGAGCTGGTCATCTTGGAAGCTGCCTTGAGGAGGTGAATGATAGGAAGAAAGGAAGACATGAGCTTGCCTGGGAGGTCAGACATGTGGCTGACTGGCAGCTACATGGCTGGGAGAAGGAAGCCTTAGAGAAAAAGTAAAGAAATGCAAGATGCTAGGGGCAGCCCAAAGCCTTAAAGAAAGCATGTTTGGTAAGAAAGGCATGAAGAAGGAAAAGGGAGATTACACTTTGCAGAGGGAAGGGGGCAACTGACAGACTACATGGCTGTAGCTAGGAAGTTCTGTGCCCTTAGGTGGGATTACAGGCTGGAGAAACTCACTATCCCATTAACACACTAGGTATTCTGCCCATCTGTAGCATAACCCACCTTCCTAGTGGTGGTCCTATGACCAGATGATTGACCAGTTAAACTTACACAAAAAGGAGGTACTTGGGGTATTAGAGTCTCAAGGTCTGCCTGCTGAGAGAGCCCTCTTTTCCTCTTTCCTTTTCAATGTCCTAGACTATATGTGGGGGTGTAAATTACTGGCTCCCTACTTTGTATAGGTGTGAGGCTTTGTCCCCTGGCAGTCACATGACCCACCACTCCTGTGAAGATTCAGCAGCACTTAGACCATGAAGGTGAGTCTGCAGGACAGCTGCTCCCTTCACACAGTCAACAGTGACCCCCTCTAAAGTGTTTTTCTCTCATTTGGCCCCTTAGACTCCCTTTACATTTTTCTTGCTCAGCTATGCATTATAAGAGATACATTTTACAATATAAAAACATTTATGTATTTTGAAATAGTTGTTTTGGGCTTATTGGTTCTGTAATTATCATATTTAGAAGTTTGTCAAAAATTTACTGCTTATTTTGTCTTTCTTTCTTTCTTTTTTCTTTCTTTGTTCTTTTTGAGACAGGGTCTCCTGGTAGCTCTAGCTGGCTTGGAACTCACTATGTAGACCAGGCTGGCCTTGAACCCACAGAGATCTGCCTGCCTCTGCTTCCTGAGTGCTGGGATTAAAGATATGTGCCACCATGCCTGACCTTTCTTTGTCTTTTGTAAAATTCCAACTCATTAATTTTTCTAATACCTTAGCTTTTTTCAAGAATGAAAAATGTCAAGGAAGTTTATAAAATAGATGAATACAAGCTTATAAGATAAGAATTACCAAATTCTAAGTCATGGTTATAATTAGCCACATAAATTCTGCTGCTATGATTTTATGATTATGATATATGACTCTGGTCTTTCTGGTTTCTAAAGAAAAGAGGAAGTATGACAAGTTTAAATTAAAATAAAAATAGTTAATTTAGACTTTTCAAAGAAAGAACAGTCTTCTGGCACCAAATTTTGAGAGAGATCTTTCCTGGGGCATTATATATAAGGCATAATGGTCTCAGAACTTCGTATGTCAACATCACTTGGTCAGATTTTAAAAATATGAACTCTGGCATTCATCATGAGTGCTACCCCTGAATGTGTCTAGGTGATTTGGGGGATCAGTCAGGTTTTGAAACAAATGATGAGGGTACTTTGAATAAAATGATCACTCAGAAGCTCTGTAGAAGTAGAATTCATATTGCTGTTCATTACTGTAGGAACTGAAAGGAGGTTAAAATATGTCTCTATTTCCTATGGAAGGTAAGCCTATAAAGCCGATGCACTGCAAGCTCACGCTCCATAATAACTATCTCATGATCTAATATGAATTCTTCAAAACCTGAGGTAGCTCATACAAAGTGTCATTTCTCTTGATCGGTGCTGATTAGATTTAATATTAAACTTATGCTTTCTAAGATTGTTCTGAAGTCTTGGAATCTGATTCTATTTAGAAAGATAGTTCTATTTTAGAAATTAGACAAATCATTAAAGATGTATGTGAGGAGCATGAGTGAGCCTCACATGAGAACCAATCAGCCACTTTGCACATAGCCCATGATATGAACTGCATTACCATGAAAGTGGATTTTTAGAAAAGATGATACCGAGTACCTGCCAAGCCCGGGGTGAAAGACTGGTAGAGGTAGCAAGATTCACTAATGCTCCCATGGACTATCTAGTTTAGGCAACATGAAGTTCTGAAGTGTTTGTAAGGGGCATAAGCAGGCAACTCCCACTGGATAATTAAGCAGAGAGTTTTCTAAGGAATCCTTTGATGGGACTAACTTACATGTTGTAGACTATCTACTCCAGACAATAATTTTTGCTCATTACATTTAAAAATCCTTTCTAGACAACCAAACATATTCCTAAGTAGAGCAGCGCAGATAATAAACCATGTCAGCACATACACACACTCATCCTCTTATTTGAAAGGGGAGGAGGCAAGCTGTTGAGTATGCCTGTTTTAAATTGTTGTCCAGTCTGATCTCGCCTACTGCTGTTCTAATTGTGATAGCAGAATACAAGTTTTGCAACTAAGAATTTTAGTTTATTTCAGCATTGTTTACAGAATCAACAATGAAAGTGGGAATGGGTCACAGTCTTTGTTTAGATTTCTGCTCAAAGTGAGAACGTCTGTGGTTGGGAGTATGATGATGTGACATCACTAACATTTTCTTTATAAAAGTTCAAAGCAAGCACAACCTTAGGAAACAGTCATCAACAGTAGCACAGGAAATGTGAGGCTAGCTGTATTATGTTCTGGGCCTTACTTTGCATGTATTTTCAAGTGACCATTCTTCCAGCTGTATGGAAAAGGAAAACATTAATAGCTAACCTTTCAGGAAAACAAAAAAATTATGCAAAATACACACTTTAAAACTCAAATCTTTGGATTAGTTTGAATATTATTCTCTAGATTAGAGAAAAGCAAATCAAAAACAGCTTATGAGTAAAAAAAAAAACAGTATAGTAAGAGTGTTTTCACAAGGATAGTATAATATGGTTACTTTAATTTACAGTTCTTTAAATAACATTGTTTTCTTCTTTTGCTTAGGAAAGTAAGTCTAAGCCAACAACCCTGAAGCCCATAATTCTGAATGAGATTGTAGAAGCTCACAAACAAAAGATTAGGGAGGTGGTTCTAAAAGAGAGCATAGCGCCTAATGAGCACCTCACACTCTATGACAAGTACCAGTTTTTGGTTACTAAAAAAGCTGAGCGGGATGTTGACAAATTCCTTGCAGAAAATCCAAGTTATGAGAAACTAAAAGAGGAAATTCTCAAATACCAGAAACTAACAGAGGAAATACAGTATACATCTCCAAAGGTAAATGACCCATCCTTGGTACAACTATTACCTGAATCTAAGAGTTTTTCTCCGTTTTATTAGCATACAATGTCAGAACCCACAGTGAAAGAATTAGAGCATTACTGTTAACAGGAGGATGTTGATAAAGCTTGTGATATGTACTCAGATAGCTCAGCCTTCAGTACCAGCACACTGACCTGTGAGTTCTCTGTAGTTTACCCCATCTCCTCACAATGCCAACAACTTAATTTTTTTCTTTATGTAATGTTTATAAGTCCTTTGGAAATCATGGTAAGGATACCAAAGTGTGCTTACTTTTGTTATGAAGGATGCTAGGAATTTAAATTTTTTCTCTATTGCCTTTTCATTAAAAACATTTTCAGAAATATTTTTTACCATGCCCATTCCTGTTGCTGTGATAAAACCCACTGACCAAAAGTGACTCAGGAAGAGTTTCCTTGGGTGCATGGAAAAGAGTTTCAGAGGGAGAATCCATAATGGTGGGGGAGGCATGGAAGCAGGTGGCAGGAACAGGAAGCTGAGAGGTCAATCACTTCTTCAACCAGAAACACAAAGAGAGCAAACTGGAAGTGGGGCAAGGCTATGAACTTTCAAAGCCTGCACCTGGTGACCTGCTTCCTCCAGTAAGGCGATACCTCCTAAATGTCCCCAAACAGTGCCACCAACTAGAGACTAAGTATTAAAATGAGAGATGGCTCAGGGGTTAAAAGCACTGGCTGCTCTTTCAGTGGACCCAGGTTCTATTTCCATCACCCAAATGGAAGCTAACAACCGTCTATAACTACAGCTCCAGAGAGGCAATGCTCTTTCTGACCTCCACAGTCATTGCATGACAGGGATGTACTTATACATGTGGGCAATTCACTCATATACATAAAATAAAAATAAGAAATAAGAAATAAAATAAAATACTTTAGTCTACAGGGGTGGGGGTCATTTCTCATTGAAACCACCACACACATGTTAAACATGTTTCCTGTTAAACAAATACATCATTTGAAATGCATGTTATTGCTGGATGTGGTGGTACACACCTATAGTACCAGAACTGAAGATGCAGAAGCAGGAGCATCACAAGTTCAAGAACAAATCAAGATGCTATCTTAAAACAAACAAAACATGAAAGAATGAAACCAATTTTTATCAATTTAGCAATAACCTAATTTCCCAAAGTTTTTGAGACATGGTCTCCCTGTAACCCCAGCTGTCCTGGAACTTACCATGTAAACCAGGCTAGCCTTGATCTCAAAGAGATCCACCTACCTCTGCCTCCCAAGTACTGGGATTCAAGGCATGGAACAACCTGACAACTACTCCCATTTTCCCAGTTTAAAATCTATTATTTTTCTGAAACAAAATTATATTCCAAGATGACAAATTTGAAGGAAATTTATCTACAAGATAGTTGTAAAATACAAATGGGACAAATGAGTGTCAGAAATTGCTCACTGCAAGAACATTTGTGTTGTTTTTTGTTTGTTTATTTTTGAGACAGGATCTCACCCTGTAACCCTGGTTGACCTGGAACTCACCAAGTGTCCCAGATTGGTCTCAAACTCACACAATCTTCCTGCCTTAGCTTTCCAAGTGCTGGTATTATAGGCCTGAAGCACCACATCTGGCTTAGAATCTTAAAAAAAAGAAAATCCTCAACATTGTTCAATCACACACACAAAAATCAATATTATGAGAATGGCAAAATAGAATCTTTTACTTAGTTTTATTTCTACTCATGTTCATTAAACTCTTACTACATTGCAGACTGTTCGTTTAGGAATGTTTGAAATACACTGTGAGGACTTGATCAGAGCTTTGGTTAAGAGAGCAGATGTCATTACTGGGAGGCTTATAGCTAAAATGTTCCAAGACCATCAGGATGTAAATACAAGGTATTTATGTGATACTGATTCAGTTTTTATTTTTGGAGGGTAATGTTAGGTGTGATAAACTGTTAATTACAGCAGTGAACAAGACCTATGTCATAAATGATGCAAGAGAAAGATTGGGCTAAATTTACTTATACATGTGATGAGACTATCAATGTGATTTATCTTTCATGAATGTTTCAGCCTAACTATTTAAATTAAGGTGGCATTAAAATGAGTTTGCATTCTTTTGCACAAGTCAGGAGGACATAATTTCATGCTTTTAAATTTGAATAGTCAATATATAGTTTTCAAAGTATATTTACATGGGAGCTATCAACAGATTCTAAGTCATTCTCAAATTTGAGACTTTGTTTTCCTATCATTATTCTTCAAGGTCACAACAAGTTTCTCTCTTAACTAGACAATCATTTGATGACTAACTTGGGGGATGTTAGGAAAGCTGGCTGATGTAAACTCAGAGAATACTAGCAATGTACAACATTAAGTCAAGAAGTTAATTAATGTATGGTCTTCCAACAGTCGGTGCTAGTATTGTTTTGGGAACTTCTTTTTAATATGTTTAGGAAGATATCAGAAATAATTAGAACTTTTTTTTTCTTTCTTTCTTTCTTTTTTTTTTTTTTTTTTTTTTTTGAGTATCTACCTTTTATCCTAATTTGCCTTGAATTTACCAATGGGGCCCAGACTTGCCTTGTAATTACCAAGATCCACCTGCCTCTGCCTCCCAAGTGCTGGGGTTAAAGGCATGTGCCACCGTGCTAGAGTTTTTTTATTTTATTATTTTGTGTGTATGAGTGCATATATACTGGTGCACCATGTGCGCTCCTGGTGCCTGCAGAGGCCAGAGGGGACATTGGATCCCCTGGAATTGGGTGCTGGAAATGGAATGCAGGTCCTTTGCAAGAGCAACCAATGCTCTTTACCACTGAGCCATCTCTCCAGCCCCATGTTGTTTGTTTGGTTTTTTTTTGAAGCCGGGGTCTCACTAGGCATCCAGTGTGACCTGGAAATCAGGGCATTCTGCATACTCCTTTCTCAGCAGCAATGGAATCACAGTTGGGACCTCCCACACCCATGTTTTAGAATGTTTCTTACAATTATGGTATCAGAGAAAAAAAATAGATCATTAAAAATATTTCTCCTAAAATGTGCTGACTCCTGAAGGAAACTTCATTTACCTAACCTGTGTTAGACATGGAGCCAGAATCTAAAATATAAATAAAATAGGCTGAAAGAAATTATAGTGCAGAAATGGAAATGAAGTAAACTAGTAAATTACTCCCAGGTGTAGTAAGTACTACACTCAGCCTCAAAAGCAGAACAGATAGAGAACATGAATAGTTTTCTCAGTGTGGTGTTTGGGTGAGAGGAGACAGCTGAGGAGAGCTGCAAAGATGGAGTGTGGATTTCATTTTGAAAGAGGAGTATGTCAGGTGAGCAGTGTGGGTGAAAGATTCCAGGCAGAGAGTATGTGAAAGGCAGCGAGCTGTGAATAGGCATGGTGTATCGAAGAGGGAAGAGAGAGAGCTGTGTTGCTTTCACAAACACCAGGTCAAGGGCATGAGAAGTCTGCAGAGGGAGACCCAAGTAGAGGAGGGCTGGGGCCTGGGTAGCTTAGCTAGGAAGCCCAGTCATAGTTTCAGCTTAAAGAACCATGCCTCTAGAAGCACTGGAGGAATCGTGAACACACTGTGTTTGTATGCTTTCCACACTGGGAGAAATGTTTGTTTCAATTTCATAGCTGCTTCCCCTACTGTCACTGCCCGTTGAGCGCATGCCCATTCTGTTTTACTCCCATTTTTTTTATTCTTTTCGAGACAGGGTCTCCCTATAGCCCCAGCTGTCCTGGAACTCACTATGTAGACTAGGCTGGCCTTGAACTCAGAGATCCATCTGTTCCTGCCTCCCAACTGCTGGGATTAAAGGCATGAACCACCACACCCATTTTTAATTATGCCAGACTCACTAGATGCACAGGAGACATGCCACACATATGGGCAGCCTCAGCTTCTTTCCCCTGCGTGTCTCAGCCACTCCACGAAGCTTTCCACAGTTATGTCCCATGTTCTCCGACAGCAGGCTCTCTCTTCCCTTCAGCTCCACTCTCTGGTTCCCTCTATCCCTTATGATAAAGCTCTCTTCCGCTGCAGATTCTGCCTCTGTGGGTATACAGGAGGCCTCAAACCCCTCATTCATCCTCCAGCCCCGCCTTCAGCTCAACAGGGTCAGCATATTCTTCCTTTTTCTACCTCACAGCCATTTCTTGGGAAGAATTTTCTTCTGGAGTTCCTTAGTTTCCGCATCTCTTTCTTTCTTGCCAACCCCAAAGTAAGTTAATTGTTTATACTGTCCACCACCCAAATCCATAGGAAATGTTTGCCTATGCGAGACGTTTCTGAGCACACAGGCCCATTTTTACCATTCCATATAAACAGTTAGTCACTCCCTTCCTTTGAACCATCTTTGCTACAACTATTAAAGCTACAGTTGTTACAACTATTAAAACTATATCTATGGACCCCTCTCCCACATCAGACTTGAGGGGCATTACAAAATCTTATTCATTCCTATTTTTCTGTCATTTTATAGCTGAGAATGTGACAGATGATCATTAAATTTGTATTGAACAAATAAGTAAATGAACACAAATTTGTATTGAATACATTAGATGTTATATAGATAAGTTGCAATCTTTATTTTTCATGCAGTGGAGCATTAAATAAGAAATATGTATTGGAATGAAATTTAATCATAAATTTGTAAGATTGATTTTATCTGCTGTTCCAGATTATGTGAAGAGTTTGAGAAGATAGCTGAGAAAGCTCTTAGCACTCCTCTGAATACAGCAGAGCTCATGGAAATGAAGGTATTGTTTCTAAAGTCTTTATAGAATGGTGTGCGTCATAACTGGCACAAGATGCAGAGAAATAGATCTCTCCAAAGGTTAAGACAGAGACTTAAAATCATTAGGACTTATTAAATGCTTCATTCAGACACCTGTAGCTTGGTGGTTTGGGCTGGGACTCCTTTGAATGATTCTTCTAGATTTAGTGCAGTCACTCTCTTGGCTCACTCAGTCACTTTGCTCAGCTGGCCGAGTTGATTCCTGCACATATTCTTCAGAAACTGGGCTCTGCTCCATTTGTCTCAAACTCCAGCAGGCTTCCCGGGGGAGGTTCCCATGGCGTGGTATAGACACAGCTGCCCATGTGGAGTGCTCTTCTGTTGGTGTCACATAAGCTGACATCTCACTGGCCAAACGAAGTCCAAATGAGAGGATGACACAGGGTATGGTTACTCAAAAGGATGAAAGCAATCATCTGCCGGGATATTCTTAATACCACTGTGGGGCCTGGAGAGATGACTCAGAGGTTTAGAGCACTTGCTGCTCTTGCAGGGGACCAGGGTTTAGTTCCCAACACTTGCATAGCAACTCACAGTCTTCTGCCTTCTGTAACTCCAGTTCCAGGGGATCCAATCCTGTCTTCTGGCCTCTGCAGCCATCATAGTGATAGCAGGCATCAGCTAGGGCTATTCAAAGTAACCTGAGATGTATGGTCATTCTTCATTTTTAATCAACAAATTTTTAATTCATAAGCAATATTCTCCTTTCTGAAAAAGTTATATTTGGTTATGGATAAAATATTTTGTGATAGTTTGCTGAATTATGTTTCAAGTATAGAATCCATTTAATTTTCACTTTGTTTTTTTGTGTTACTTCTGTTTTTTGAGTCTCCCTAAAAACAAATAAAATGATAAAAAATAATATCAATTTCATATTTTTCCTCCTTTATTATAACATTTACCACTTATAGAATTCCTTTTTTTCATTTGCTAGTGTTCCTCAAATTCAAAATAGAGCCCTTTTAATTTTATATTTAAGGTATTTAAGTGAACCTAGAATAACATGTAAAAAAATCATGCAAAACTTTGTACAGACCAAAATTATGAAAGGAGTTCAAATAATTATTCACTTAAACAAAAGCCTTGAACTAAATTTTACACAGATTCTTAGAGATTATATATATAGTTTTTTTAAGTAATCCATACTTGAACCAGAATTCTTAGTGTGTGGGAGCATGCACATATAAAATACATAGGCCTGTGTGTATTTGGGGGCTTTTTTATATTTTGTACTAGTTCTCATTAGTCATTATGTAATTCTTTGGTTGATAGGTATAATTATAGGTATAGGTATAGTTAGAGAATTCCTATATCATGCATTCTTCCTTGTTAAAGGAACATTCCTTTGGAAAGATGAATATTGCTTTTGGAGTGTCATTTGTGCACCTTCATAGACATCACTGGGTTTAGGAATTTGGGATTTATTTAGTGTTATTTAATATTTCTATTTCATACAACAATTTTAACAATATTAGTAAATAAGATTGTTTAGCTTTTAAAATATCTCCATATCTTAAAATTTATTCCCACAAGGGAAAGCCAGGTGGTAAGTTTAATCAATACAAAAATTAGTCTTTTCCTAGCTAGCAATCAGGAGGCAGAGGCAGGCAGATCTCTCTGGGTTCAAGGCCACCTGGTCTACATAGCAAGTTCCAGGTTACAGGGAGACCCTGTCTTAAAAAGACAAAAAAAAAAAATAGTCTTTTATTATGAATAAGGAGAAATATTAACCCAGTTGTCTGACTATATAGAAAGTAAAAGACTAGCTAAATTTTAAAAATATGTATTTCTGGGGCTGGCAAGATGGCTCGGTGGTTAAGAACACTGGCTGTTCTTGAAGACCTGGGTTCGAATCCCAGCACCCATATGGCAGCTAACAACTGTCCATAACTCCAGTTCCAGGGGATCCAACAGCCTCCTCTGACCTCCTTGGGCGTTGCACGACACGGGTGCACTTACCTACATGTAGGCAATACACGAAATTATGTGTATGTGTGTGTGTAGGGGGAGTAAGCACATGTGAGTCAAGTGTGGGCACACACAAAATCCTGAAGAGGGCATCAGATCCCCTGTACCTGGAGTTACAGGTGGTTGTAAGCCGCCTGATGTGCGTGCTAGGATCTGAACCTCTACAAGAACAGAAAGTGTTTGGAATTGCTAAGCTATCACTCCAGATCCTAAAAATCTTTAATTTCAATTAGACATTTGTTACTTATAAAAACCACTATAGTTTCTAAATCTGGTTATTGCTTGTTTATAGGAACACTGTGTTTATAGTCAGCCAGCCTAGACATGTTACTTTCCGAAATCTCCATCCCTAAATCAATGTTTTCCCCTATGCATGTAAGGTAGTTTTGTGATAAACTTTGACCATGTATAATCTTTCTTCCCTTAGTTGCTTTGTGCAACTGACTAGAGCTCATAAGGCCCAGTGTGTTCTGGCCCCAGTTAAAAACCATTCTCCTGACCTCATGCTCTGCCGCAGCCCTGAAGCTACTCAGACCCTCACCTAAGCTCCCTTTTGTCACTGGGGCCACATATGTGCCCTCCAGGTGCCCCTTTTCCCTCCTGCCTCATCTCATTGCCTCTTCCACATGTACTTGTTGGAAACCAGGCTACCTCAGAACTTTGTTATGTGCTGCAAGCAACAGGTCTCTCCTGTTTCACTTTTTATTTGAATAAAAGTTTCACTTTTTTTTTTTTAACTAGAGAAAAGCTAGTTATTTTTATTTTTATTTTTTTTTCTTTTTTTTAATTAAAAGAAGCATTTCATTACAACAGCATTAACCTATTCAATAACATTTTTCTGAGCTAGGGTACATCTCTTTCAAAATTGGCTGTACATTTCTAGGTTTACAGATGAATTATTACCCTTATATAATCTTTTACTCATTATAAACTCTATAAGACATAAAATTAAATGAGGTTCCAACAGCAGGATGACTCAGCAGTAAAGATACCTGCTACCATGCCTGATGACCTGAGTTCTATCCCCAGGACCCATGTGCAGGGCTCTTGACATTGAGATGTTTTCACGTGCATTTCTAATCTCTATATACTTGACTATCACTGGTCACAGTCACCCACCTTCTGAGCTCCTCGGCATCTGAGCATGAATACAAACTCGTCAGGTAGACAGCCTTCCTCTCCCACTAGAGCCTCCATACTCTGCTATCCCTGCCACTGTCCACTGTGCTGTCAGCACCCCCATCCATTCCCCCCTATCTGCCCTTCTGGTAAATCTAGTCAGCCAGAGGTCCCTGTTCCAGGAGGATAATAAAAAGTTTCACTTTTTATTTGAATAATAACCATCTTTTCCATTAGACTACAGACTCTATGAGAATGAAAGCCAGGTCTGATTTCGGGTCACTGCATTGCCAACACCTGATACGGTGTCAAGTGCATAGTTGCTCATGCCCCAAAACACAACACTGAAAGGACAAGTGAAATTACTCAGATAGCATCTGCTTTTAACTTCTGCTGTTGTTTTCTTATGTGTTGTTGAGTATTTTCTTGGTTTTTTTTCTTTCTGCTGTTTTAGTGGTGTTTGGGATGAACAAGAAATAACTACACTGAGTCCTCAATACAGAACCAAGCTTTTCTGATCAGTATTTGCATAGTCATGCACTATATTTCCACAGGATGCATTTTTAGTAAAGCTCTTAGTTATAATGCTGTCTGTAACCTCTGTTTTCCTTTAGGCTCACATTCAGAAAGTGGAGTCAACGGGCATGGTTGAACTGGGACAGAGATTAGTGGATTCTAAGAACTGCCTGGCCTTCCTCATTGAGCATGTTAACTTTTCTTCTGCAGACATAAGACTAAATAATAGTGTTTTCCAGTGGTATGCCAGAATGGGAGGAATTTTTGAAGAACACAGGAAAATCATTAAAGATAAAACAGAACAATATCAAGAAGGCCTTAAGGTAGGCATTCTAGAAATTTTTCATTACTCTCATTTTCTGGAAATGTTTGAATTTAAAATTTTAATGTAGCATTACCACTCCTTTATTACACAAGCCACATATTATAGCTTTCTTGTACTATAAATCGTAGTAGAAGGATGTACACATACTGGATCTTTTTCTAACAGATGATTAAGGAGCAATTGAATACTATACTGATCATTGTGGGATAATTTCTTGATTTTTTTCAAGGTAACATGTAAAGAGTGTTGGAAACTATTACCCACAAGTAACCATTGATAGAAATAGTATTTGTCTCACAAGTTGTAGTACTACTAACCTCTGATCTTTTTGTGACTTAAAGCTCAAGACTCCCTTGGTGGTAAATTCTTCTTCATACTTCATAGACAGTCTGGCTCTTCGGAACAGTGTCCAAAGTTAACTTTTTTTTTTTTTTTCTGTAGAAGATTTGCAGTTTACCTCTGCCTACAGTCCAGATCTATTTTCCACTTTTCTGCACGCCTCACTCCTGATTGTAACTCCAAGTAACTTTAGCCCTCTGCTCTCCTGGGTCACTCATCTCTTGCACGCTCTTACTCTGCAACACTCTCTGCCCTGCCCCAAGCTCACTGTCACTCATACTCAAGTTTATTTTCGGTGAGGCCTGTGAACCTCAGGCAGCTTCTCCTTTGCTCTCACCACACTCACCCTAACATACCTCTAATCACTGTAATCACTTTCCGGTCTCTCTGCCTTTAGATAGTCAGCTCCTGAGAGCTTCAGGTTTTGGGTTTTGTTTTTTTTTTTTTTTTAATTCTCTTTATCCCATTGGCTAGCATAGTGACTGACCCACAGTGTCTCAGTCTGTTTTGGGCTCCTAGAATAGAAGACCTGACACTGGGAAATTTGTGAAGAACAGAAGTTTATTGCTTACAATTCTGGAGACTGAGAAGTCCAAGTTCAAGAAGCTAGCATCTGGCAAAGGCCTTCTTATTACAGCATCCCTTGGCTACTGAAGTGTACATTTATGAGAAAGAGACTAATAGAAAAGTGGGGAGTTAGAAAGGAAGGGCCAAACCTACTCTTTTCTCAGGAGCCCACTCTTGTAATAACTCACTAGTTTCCATAATAACAGAATTAATCCATTTATGAGGACCTTGTCACTTTTAAAGGTTCCTCTTGTCCATGTTTTTTTTTTTTTTTTCACTGTTGGTCCAACACATGGACTCTGGGGAACATTCAAACTAGAGTACACAGG